ACAAACGATTGCTATCGTTTGTAAACGATAATAAAAAAAACTGATTATTATCGATTGATCAACAATCGATAATAATCAGTGGGGGTGTTGGTAATCGATTGCCAATGAATATGGTTGGCAATCGATTTTCAACCGTATCAGAAATTTGCTGATGAAATCAATAAAGACAAATTATTTATATATCCAATAATTAAAGAAAAAGAACCTATTTAAAAAATTAATCAATATATTACTAAATCAGATGAACTATTAGAAATACCAAAATCACACTCCTTCAAATACTTGATATTACCAATTTATAAGACATACTCAATAAAATTTATTAACTATGGAAGAAAGTTCAAAAGAAAATTAATCAAATAAAAAGTAATATAATAAAAGTGTCTATAAATTATTTAAAGAAATCTCAGATAAATATAATCTGAATGATATTATAATTATTCATAATGACATTAAAACTAAAGATATCAACTTTACTATCAAAATGTATAATAATAATGACAAAGACAAAATATCAGAATGAGCTCATGAAAATAATATTGATTTTAATATTAAATATATCAGAGAACAATCACTCATAATTAAATTACAACAAATAATATTAATCAACTTGTTTATTACTATAAAAATATCTATTATAATCATATACCAATTGATATTCTAATTTTTTCTTATACTCAAAGAAATTGATATTAAAAATAATATTATTGACTCTGACTATATTAAAAATATTAATATAATATTATATAATCAATTCAATAAAGATTATACTATTTAACCAGATGATAAAATTGCACAAGCAGTATTTTTATAACTGACTCTAATTGAAAGATTACAACTAATACATGCTCATTAAGAACTAGAAGAATATAATTATAGAACTAGTAAATTTAAATTAACAAACAGTAAAAATATAATATACTTCCTAAGTCAAGAAAAAGAAAAAGATAAATCAATTGAATGATGAGAATCAATTAAAGAACAAAATCAAGTATTAAACTAACTATTAGAAGAATTTGATAACATATTTACTGCTGAACTTTATGAACTTAAAAGAGTTAATAAAGTTCAATATCTAATCAATACTAATAATGAATGATCAGTTTTAACTAAAATAAAAATATAACATATTTTTAATTAATAAAATCTAAAATTTATAACTTTTATTTATTAATTGTATAAAATATTTGATTTATTTTATAATTAATTCTGTAATTTTATTATAAAATTTAAATTAATAATAAAAATTGCTTATTTTTAGCTTATAAATAACTTTATTTTTTTATAATTATTAAAAAATAAAAATAACTATTATATAATATATAATTAAAAAATTTTTTTTAATATTTTAATTTTTGGTAAAAATATATTAGATATAAATTTATAAATATATTTACTTGCTAAAGTTAATAATTTAAAAAATAAAAATAAAATTATTAATTAAATTTTAAAAACTTTGTTTATAAATTAAATAATAATATTTTAAAATTAAAATATATTATTAATAATATATTATACTATATTATAACATATTTTGATAACAATTATTTACTAATTCAATATATAAACTATATTTTTAATAAATTTTTAAATATATATAATTATATACTAAAAGTTATATATAATTAAATATTTTTTTATAATTTTATAGAATTTTTTTTAAAAAAATAAAATTTTTTAATAACTTATTTTTGTTCTTATAACTATTAGAAATTTTATAATTAAAATATTTTTTGTATTATATTATATGTAATATAATTAAATTTCAAAAAATAATATTTTAAAAAAATTTTCTTAATGTTATTATTAATTAATATTAAATTTAATTTATTAAATTAAAAGTTTTTATATTATAATTAAAATAATTAATTATTAAATATATAACAAATTTTGTATATAAAAAATATTTGGTTTTATAATTTTCTAAAGTTTTTATATATTTTTCAAATTATATTATATATAATACAAAAATATAAATTAAATTCATTAAATTAAAAGTTTTTATATTATAATTAAAATAATTTATTATTAAATATATAATTCTAAGATTTAAAATAATTTATATTTAATAATTCTATTTTATATAATATATTTAATTTTAGTAATAATAAATAACTAGATTATTAATTTATTTTGTAAATAATTTTAAATAATATTGAAATAATCTAAATTATTAATTATTAAATTATTTAAATTATTTAATATATAATTATATTTTTAATTAATAAAGTTTTAGTAAGTTATTTTTAGTCTTGTTACAAGTATATGAATATAAATTCAGATAATAATCAAATTCAAATCATCAATTTTTCTAATAATGAATCACTTTGTGAAAAATCCAAAAAAATAAAACAAGTTTATTTAAATGAAATCTATTAATACCTTGTCAAAATAAAAATTTAGAAGATAATAAGTATTATATATAGCATATACTTTTAAATAGAAAATTTTTGTTGCTAATAATGCATAATTCAAATAATTGAAGCAAAAATTTTATTTCAAATTTCATTTCAAATTGAAATTTTATTAAAATATAGGAATATTCAAGCAATAACTGTAATTATACTTGAATATAAATATATGGTTACTTATAAGAATGAATTAAATGCAAATATGCTGTTAAGAAATATAAAAGACATCGTGTAATTTCTAATTCGATTTTTAATAATATTAAAAAATATATTTTTGCAAAAATAAATTTTGACCAGAATTATCTTTAATTTTGTAATGCTAGCCGAATAGTCACATGATTTTACAATTGTAAATTTCGGATTTACGATAACAGTTCGTTGACAAGTAAAAATAAACCGAACGCTGTCAAAGAATTTAAAATGTTATCGTTATTACAAAAACTTGAATAAACAAACAAAACATGATGAAAATAAAAATAAAACCGTTTTTTTTTTAGCTCAATTTATTTATTGGATTAAGATTTAACACTCATTCAAATAATACTAACTACATGTATTAAGTCAATACTATTTAATTATACTTCAAACATGTTATTTATTTTTACAACAGAACATAACGACAAGCATGCAATAATAAGCACTAAAAAACAATCAACTAGTTTATGGAATTCAATCGCCAACTAAATCCTCAAAGTCTTCTTTGTCAACTCTTGTTCCATTTCCTGTTCGAACAAGTCATTCTCAACATTGTCATCGATATCTTCTTTATTTTCTTCATCTTGCGCACTTTCTCGTTCCTCTTCGTCCTCAATTTCATTTGCATCCTCGTCAAACCCTTCTTCGAATCCAAATCCTCCCCCTTCCTCATCACTGCTACTCTCGGAGAAGAAATCTTCATCCTCATAAAACTTTGTGTGCTTTCGTCCGAGTTCATCGTCATATATGTCGTCTGCGGCTTTTTGTTTTTTAGCGCTAGTAGTTGTCATTTCACCTAATTGTTGACACTCTTCGGATGTTTCAAGATGCTGACTTGTTCTTTGGTCGGCTAATACGAGATTGTTATACTCGATCTCGGCAAAACTATCGAATTCACTGTATGATTTTCATTAATTTATTTATTTAATCAATATTGAGTAAATTATGAATCCTAAAGAAACTATTTCAAAAGAAAACATGTACCTCATATTCTCAATCTCTGGAGCACTTTCTGCACTTTGTCCCGCTAAAATCTGCTGTCGTATGCGCCACTGTTGTTGATTATGATCAAATGCGATAAACTTTGTCAAATTGATAAACATGTCAAAGAATGGTGGAGCATTTTGACGACACCGTTTTAGATCTCGCAACGTGATGATTCCTTCTTTTGCTGGCTTGATCATATCGTACCTGCGTTAAATAAGATTAGATGTGTACGTATAAAAAATAACCCATGAATCTTTACATTTAACAGCTACATTTGACAAATACAATCTTCAAATTTTATTGGCTCCATTTGCAGAATTTGCATTCTATTGATTTGTTCCTAATTAATTTAACCGATTTAAAAATAGCTCGGGGATTTGATAAACAATTCAACAAAAAATTATAATCACGCACCTGGAAAAAGTAATCTAATTCGTATGTGCTTAATACTCCGTCTCCATCAAGATCCAGACAACGGAACCAATACTCAATAGCTGTTGGTGTACTTTTATCAATCTCTGATAAGAAGAACCCTATTAAAAAAAAATCAAAAAGTTTGAATCAAACATATGCTTTATCCAATGCACAAAAAATACATCCAAATCTTACAAATGAAATCTCGATAACTCATTTGCGGCTGCTCCTCTGAGGACCCTTCAACAATCGGTAAATCGCTAACTTTCCCCCACCCATTAATGATTCGCGACACGATCCTTTCTGATAACGCGTACCTTCCATAAATAGCCAATTCCTTTTCATTTATTTGTAAATCGTGATTACTATCTAGTTCCCAAAAGCTACAATATATCACATAAAAATGTTTGTATGAGAAATAATCATGTGTCTAAAGTAGAGACAGAAAGAGAGGTGAGAATTTTGCATTATTATTTAGTATAATTAGTAGAATACGGGGAGGGGGGGCTCACATGGCTTATATCAACTTTTGTTTCTAGTTTTCTCAACATATCACCGAAATTCATTTGTCGGAATTCTTTCAAGGTCATTTTGTTTGTCCAATTACGATTATATTCGTAGAAGATGCGAGAAGTTACAGTTTCCACTAAAAAATTTGCGTTTAATGTTCATAAATGAATTAAACCATCATAACATGCAGAATATGAATAAACTTACTATATCGATCCTGAAATACATTATTATTTGCAAGAAATTCGAAACCAGGATGACTAAGAACAACATCTGTCGTTTTTATTGATAAATTAACACAATTGTTACATTCTGGTTAAATATATTAATAGCCTAATAATTGGGTTCGTCGTACCTTCAAGAACCGTATTAAAATCATCTGGGATCAAATGTCCACCTTCTTCGCTTTTGAGAATATTAAATATTAAAGAATTTTCATCGGTCGAACTTGCTATTAATTGTTGCCACCCCCTTTAGAAATAAACCAACAAAATGAATACAGTATACATGTACGTACTTGTGAACATGTAATGCAGATTAAAATATCAAATACGTAAATAATCCACCTTTCAAATTGCTCAAAAGTGACATCTCCAGAAATATCTCCGAGTTCATCGATTTTTGCGAATAATGCTTGATTCATATATCTTGGCAAATTACATGCATTCGTTACAGGGATGAAAGTTGCTAGAGTAAAAGGTTCATCTTTTTCTTTGTATATTTCTTTGACTGCATTCTAAGATTTAAAAACAGCGAACATTAACACACACGAATATATTGCGAAAACAATTTCACGTGTTCAAAACTTGCAATAATATTCGATAAATCTTCTCGGACTCTCTTACTCGGTGGAAAGTAAAATTGAGGAACCTATTTTTTTTGAATGAAATAGAAATTTATCACATATCGCATGAGCTTGAAATCTAAAACATGGAAATTACCTTTGTTAAATTGTTTCCATCATTTTTTTTATTCTCTTCGTTGTTTTCTTTTACCGATCCATTTTCTTTGTCATATGAATTTAACGTGATGAAAGTTATGAAAATACGTATGCGTATGTTGGGATTCACATGATATTACACATACCGATACGTACCAGTTTTTAGATTATTCTCCATATTACGACCGCCTCCAACATTTGCTGTAATACCAGTATTACATCGTTCCAGATGATGTTCAATTGTTGTAGGGAATTTTTCGAAACTAAGATGACGATGATGATGATGATGATTATTGTTATTGTTATTGTTATCGTTATCGTTATCGATATCGTTATCGTTATCGTTGTTGTGGTTATTGTTGTTCTCGTTATTGTTACTAGTATTATCGTTATTGTTCAAATGAGTTTGTTTGACTTTTTCTTCTTCAGTCGAAGTAGTAAATTCATTAATGCTGGTATTAGGGTGATGATGATTTGATTGGAAACTAACGGCTGTTGGCACTTCTTCATCCGGGATCTCTCCATTGTGTTTCATAATTTCATGTTCGAGTATCGCTATTGGATGTGTTACGCCTTCACCAGCAAACGAAATACCTCCGATTGCACGTCCAGATGGAACAGGTGATATTTCTTATAGTAAATAAATCTTAATAATATAATTACTGTGAGAAAAATACAAAATAGACGCGCTACTGTTTCCACACCATCTTTTTCTTCTACACAATTGCTCTCAAATGGATCCTGAGGTGGTAACGTTGACAACGACGACTCAAGATCTTTGATCTTTTCAATCGTATGTATATACACATTATCACAGCTTTGATATGGCGTTGTTGTTTCCTCTTCTTTTGATGTGTTTAGAGTTGGATGATAGGGCAGCATTGATTCGGCGTTATTCGTTGGCATATGAAAGTATGATGATCTTGTTGGATTGATTTATTATTGTTAGATTCTCAAGTTCCTTAAAGTTGAGGAACAGAAAGGCACTCTTTTCTTTGCAATTCATATTGAAACAAAAAATTTATTGACGAGTTTTTGAAGAAAACGCAATCTCACGATAAAATTCTCATGCACAAATATATATCGATATCCTTACTTACTACGTATTTAGTTCGTTACTATCGCTATCCACTAGAAATCTTGAATGTTTGCGTGTAGTTACTTTATTGTTTGTATGATGTGTGGTTATTATTCACAAAAAAGAACCGAGCAAGCGGGACCAAAAAAACGCAACAGGAAAAGATTATTTGTTGACTTCATTGTAATGATATTATAACGGTAATTTATTCATGCAAAAATTTTGTCGCATGATGATTGATTGCTGCAACGATGGCAAATTTTATAATTTATCGTTATTCAGACTAAAAAAAATGATTTGTCTATTATCTTTATTTAAATTGTGTACATGTACTAAGAATGTTATCATCGTTTGTATCGGTATGTCGTCATTATTAATAATAGTAATCTAATATTGATATATTGATTTGATAGTACATGTATTATTATTATTATTAATTATAGGAATAAAATGCCATCATCGATCAATCGGTTATCTTTCACTACCGCTATCATTATATATCGCTATTACATAACGATAACGCATCTTTAAACTTCATTATCGTTATTTAATTATCAATAATAAATCAACTGACTTCTTTTCCATTCACCACCTAATTCGCCGGGCCACGCTAGTCTAAATTCCATTCAGCGTTATCGACGAACAAGGCCTTAAAAGGAAATGATGTATGTAAGCGTAGTGATTCTGCTGATAATCAAAAATCGATTTTTCGGCCTAGTCTGTAACTAAAAAAAGAAGCTAATATACATGTATGTAGATAGTAATTAATGAAGAACGAGCGGTTATTAAATTTATAATTTTCGTTATTATTGAACTAAAAATCGAAGTCGAAAAATTGACTGGCCGATTTTTAGCGCGATAGATATTACTAAATATAGAATGTTACACCAGAAATCGACTAATCGACTTTGGCTGATAATTTTGTTTACAATCGATCAGTCGATTTTTTTGTTATCGACCAAAAACATTATGTATGTGATGTTCCAAACGATAGACAAACTACGTACGTACATGTACATGTATAATAAAATTGATGATTTTTACGTCGAAACCTTTCAACAGTTTGACTTCGGAATATATAAAGTCGAAACGTTAAACATGCATGTTTTTTTTAACGTTCGCCATTGTCAAAAACCTTGAAGTTTCATAATCTACTACCACGTAAAACATAATTTATGTACACGTACGATATCAGTTAGTCGTTGAAATGATCTAAATCTAATAACATGCTTTTTAGTCGTATCGGTATGGTGCATAATAATATCAAAAGTCATCAAACGTTTGTATTTTATAAAATGGATAAACTTCTTTATTAAGAAGTAATGCAAAATTTAATCCGTGAATATGCTCAGAAAGGGCCTATTCTATCATATTCACGGGTTGGATTTTGTATTTACTCCCAGTAAAGAAGTTTATCCATTTTATAAAATACAAACGTTTGATGACTTTAGATATTACGTATTATCGTTATGCACCATATTAATATTTATTTTCTTGAATTTGGTGACTTTGTTTATATTAATGAAAATTGTAATATATCCAATTCTTTCTGGAATTATATAGATTTTTAACGAACATAAACTAAAATTGGAGATATTTTTGAGCTTTTTGCTACTAATACATCCAGGTTAAGGTTTCTGATTTATTATTGATGCTAAATATTTCTTTTATATAATAATTTTTTAAAATTATAAAAATAGCTTTTAAGGTAAAAGGCGAATGGAGGTATTGTGACGAAGTTATTATATCTCAATATTTGTCTTTTTAACTTACTTCTGAGTAGTAAGTAGATGATAATAAATTGATCGAAATAGTTTACTCAGAGCCAATTCTCTCAATATTGGCTTTTTTAATCTACTTTCAAGTACTAAGCATATATTTGAAAGAATATGTTTTGCACATATTTACTTATTACTTGGAAGCAGGTTAAAAAGGCCAATATCGAGATACAATAACTTCATCACAATACCCCCAAACATTTACATTTTGAATATGACATACAAAATGATCATTTTTTCTCTTTATTATTATGTAGCCAAATTATACTAGACTAAACAAAATTAAGTATTAATATATTTTTACCATAAAAATCTATTAATATTTGTATTATTTATAAAAAACTACTGTTACACATTTTTCACTAATAGGGTAATTAGCTAATAAACATGAACAAGGGTTGGGAGAGATAATTAAACAAATATAAGAGGAATGTGAAAATAATATCTAAGTCCTATGCCAATTTC